TCTTTAAGCAGAATGACTTTTGTGCCAAGACCGAAGTGTTGGTGCAAGTACGACTGAAAGTTAATGTTTAGGCTGCTGTTACCAACATTCTGGAAGGAGGCTGTGCCTATTCGAGTGTTCTATTAAGTAATGAACTTTGTTGCTAAGCTATAAAATAGGTTTTATTGTTGGCTATTGTCACTTTATCTGTGTAGCCAGTAGGAGTGAAACTTGCTCTGCGTACTGGTGCCTGCTACCCTTGTTGTTAAGGGTCTGTCAACATTTCCATTATTAAACTTCTGTTTTGAAGGATTTATAACTTGGCTTCAGAAGTTCACTCCAGGCTGAACCTTGGCACATACTCTCTCAGCCTAGGAGTTAATTCATTTTCCAAATACTCGAAAAATCAGCCTGGCCTTCATATTGCAAGACTGAAAAGAAAATAGAAAGGGGTGGGGCTGAGTTGCTTCTGTAGTTTTGCTTGCTGCTGACTTGAGGACCTTTAACAACGTACTGAAATCCAGCGAGGAATAAGGTTATTACGTATGTTTTTTTCTAAGTTGTGCAAATCTTATCGCAGTTCCGTTGTGCACATATGTGAACTGGTATACATTCAGCTAACACTTGGTGCTGTGTCTTGTTAAATACAGTAACTGCAGTTAAATAGCTATCACGTTTGAAATGCGCTTAACACGTGTGACGTTCATACAACTTGTACTTTTAAGCTTAGCGTTATCTTGCTTGTGTATGTTACTCTTCATCTGTCACGCATATTGGATCACTGTTTCTTGTGCCAGTTAGTGGTTCCTAAAACATAAACTTGAAATTCAGCTGAAGCCAGAGAATCATTTGCTTCATTGTGGACTGTCTTTTAAAATAAAATTTTCCTTTTTGTTTAGTTGTGCTACAAAAATAGTCTGTTTAACAGATAAGGTCTTTAAGTTTCTGTAATTCTCCCTATTTCTCAAGAATTAAAATGCCTCAAATCCAGTTGATTTGCAACTTGGGTATTTTGTTTAAATGTAAGCTGATTTGTTTCCAATTTAATATGTGAAACTTCACATGTGCTTGCATACAGATGTAGTGAAACAGAATTGCCAGTCTCCATAAGAGTATATAAATGGGGCCTCATGTATGGTGCAACACCTTGTGTAGAGAGGTGTGGCAAGGGCTGATACATGCATCTTATTATAGGTGTCCATGTTGTTCTGGTGTATCTACAAAACTTAATTGGTAAATATATACATAAAAAAAGTCAATATTACTTTAATCCAGTTTTCAGAGCTGCTTTTTCTGTTTCACGGTGGACACGTATTTACTACTGGCAAAGAAGTTCTATGTACTTACGACTGGTAACTCTGGTGAATGGTTTTGTGAGTCACTTCTGACTGACTGGTTCAACAGTTGGTGGAAGCTTTGCTTTGGGTAAAGCATGGGCAGAGTCTTTACAAGCTCCTGATACCCTTAAAGTGCGGTTTAGGAAGTTTTGTGTTCAGTCTTGTTGTGTAGGGTTTTTTTTATGGTTGAATTCAGGATTGCTCAGTTGAGCTCCGTTGGAACTCACTGCTGTCAGCTGGCATTTCTTTGTTGCTTTTCTCCTTGTGCAATCATTTAAACCCCTGCAGAGGGTGTATGTGTGGGTGTCCTTGCACCCCCACACTCCCATTTCAAAAGAAGAGTGGGAAATTAACTCCTCCAGCAGAAAGCGGGTGCGATGGTAATGGGTGGGTGCAGTCCCGTAATGAACCATGCAATATGCTGTATGAGGTCTGCTGACTGTGGGCATGTTTTTTTTTCTTAACCCTGCACCAAGGAGTAAGAACTTTTAGTTCTCAAAATAAAACTAAAGGCACTTAGCACATACTTGTAGTTAATATTTCTTGACTTACACAAGAGCTTTTGTGATGCTAATTAACCATCCTACTTGGAGGCTCTCTTGTACAGTAACAACTGGAAAATAAGTGGAACTTTGAAATTATTAACTTAAGAATTTCTTCTGAACAATTCATTTAAAGTGAAATGCCTTCTGACAGCTGCATTTCTGCTGAAATATAAGAATCTTAATGGGAATAATTTCACTCCTGGCAGGCCAGCACTGATGCAGGGACAGCAGGTGCCCTGACCCCTCAGCATGTCCGAGCTCATTCCTCTCCAGCATCACTGCAGCTGGGAGCTGTTTCTCCAGGGACGCTTACACCCTCTGGAGTAGTGACTGGACCCGGAGCTCCATCTTCTCAACATCTCCGCCAGTCTTCATTTGAGATCCCTGATGATGTACCTTTGCCACCAGGTTGGGAGATGGCTAAGACACCATCTGGACAGAGATACTTTCTTAAGTAAGTAAAACTTGTTTTCAGTTAGCTGTATCTCTGGTGGTTTTTTGTTGGTTTTTGGGTTTTTTTAACAGTCTTTGAATTTTAGTAAATTGCATTGTGTTTAAAATACATATTTTTAAAAACATGCTCCTGATTTTAAGTAAGAGATCCTACCACTTCAGTATTTCTCCCATATCAACTCTGCTGTTTCTGAAAACTGTATGGTACTCTGTGACTATTTATCCTATCTTAATCTTAGCTGAAGAATGTTATCCATTATATTGTATATCAGTGATACTGTAAAAATCAGTGAAATGTGCATAGTGATTTTTAAACAATGTGACTTTTGGATTTGCTGAATCTTGCCAGAGTTCTCATGCAGGTCAAAATACATTTTGCCTCATTTCTATGATACAGATGTAAAAATACAGAGTAACTTTAGAAACTGTTGTAGTGAGAATATATCAGGACTTCTTATTTTTTGAATGAGGACAATTGTGTAAGTACACAATCAAAACATTTTTGCCTACTCTTTAATCATGAGGAAATTAATATGTATGTTTGATTGCAGTATTTGGGTCTGTAACTCTTAACTCCTCTATGTTCCCTGCAGTGAAAGGGAAATTGCAGAACTTCTAACATTGTTTCTTGTTCCTACAGCTATAGCTCTTTCACACAGTGAAATTAGTATCACCTTTTCTATAACTGAAGAGAGGTTACACATGCCAGCCATCTGACACCTAATCCATCAGGGAGCATTTTCTTTTATGCTGTGCAAGTTTTCTAAAACAGCAGGAGCTTGTCCTTCTTTCTGAAAGTGTGCCCACCAAGACACATAATTGGCCCTCAAATATTTTGACTATATTTTGAACATTTTATTTAACTGCAAGTCTCTAAATAACCCATTATATGTCATTTTCAGGGCCGGGAGAGGGGAGGGGCAGCACAGTGTGTTATTTATGTAAAACTTGTTTCAGCCAAGAAAAACATCTTTATCCCTACCTTTCTTGCTAAAACATTGTCATTAATATGTGCATTTGATTGAAGTAGTTGAGTTTGTAGCTTCAAAAACAAATCTACATTGTCTGCAATGAAAGACAGAACTTCTTAAAACTGTTTCTTGTTCCTATAGCGATGGTGTTTCCATACAGAGAAATTGGCATCACTTTTTTTAACCGAAAAGAGCTTACAGCAGTTGTCTGACATTATTTGAGCCTGAAGGTTACTTTTTGAAAACAATCATTCTGTATTAGGAATGTGAAAATGAACTTTAGCTATAGATCTTGAAGATGTGATATTTTCTTTGGTGGAGTTTAACAAATTAGCGTATTCTAGAATGTGAGCTCTTTAGTGGGCACAAATAGAATTTTTTTGGAACTGTGTAAGTTTATGCCATTTGAGAACTGTAGCTCATTGGACCTTGAGGAAAGCACAGACTGAGTTTTGAAATGAAAAGCAAACTTTTTTTTGACTGCTAGTGAGAAGTCTTAAAGAGCAGCTTATGAAGCATGAAAAATAGATATTTGATTTTTAAGCTTTACTGTCACAAGTGTTTTTGATAACACTGTCAATTTTACAGAAAACAGAACAGTTTAAGAGGTGCAAAATGTCTTCACGCTCTTATAATCGATTTTTTTAAAAGTATGCTCATTCAGGTGAAACCAGAGTGAAAGATTTGTTCTTGGAAAGCTTTTCTGCAGTTTCATTATTACCACAAAAAAATCTTTTCCTTTTTTTCTGCAAGTTTTTTTGTCCTTTCTTGGTGTCCTGGTATCCATTTCAAAGGGTCAGGTTTCAGCAAGAACAATAAAGAGCCTGAGACTGGAAAGTACACACAAGTCTGGCAAACTCATCTGCATGAGCAAGATCGTTTGTTCTCAAGCAGACATCCAAAGTAAATGATTGAAAGAGCTGCTAGCTGTGAAGGATGTGTCTTGACGGGGAAAGGAGTGGAAACAAACCAGGTTGTTAGGAAGAAAAATAAAGGCTGTACTTTTTGAACCTCTCCCTGCTGGGTCACATGCTGACCTTGGGAGATTTTAAACAGCTTAATGGGCTGTTTTCTTTTGGCTTTCCTTGGGTGATGCTGTGGTATGGGAGACTCTAATGAGGACAGTTCTGAAGGCTCTGTTCACACTTGAAGAACATTTGTTGTTCCTCGAACGTTTAATACTATCTACAGGTGAGATCCACCAACTTCACTGGAGTTCATGAAGAGTTGTAAAAAACATTCCAAGTACTAGCAAAATGTTTGCTTTGTATGTTCAGGAAATCCAAAGAAATGTAAGAATTATTTCTGAGTAGCAAGTTTGTATTTCAGAAGCTTTTTTCAGTGTTGAGTGATAAGTTCTATCTCATACCTACAAGCCCGTTAAAACTCACATCTTGTCTAGTTATACCTTAAACATTTGCTCGAAGCATGACTACTAAGACTCCTGGTGCTAAATACATTTAACGTGGTTCCTTGTACCATATGCAGATTTTTGATGTGTCTTCCAAGTATTCAGCTTTTTTGTTGGATTGGTTGCATTGCTCTTTGTTTCCATTTGCTCTGTTCTGTAGCCACTCCATGAACAGTCTGGTAATCAGGCTCTAGAAAGATCTTTGCAGAATAGGTAACAGTATTAGATTTTTTCCAGATGTCAGTAAGCCTTATGGTTATAGTTATCATAATATACTATAGTGCAAACAGAATAATATAAATTTGAGAACTGTACTAAATACAGTCTGGAATATAGTCACTTCCACTAATCGACGGGTCAAGCACTGCAAGCGTAGTAGTTTGCACAAAGAAATAAAAATAGTGTGTGTGGGAGAGAAAATACTTGTCTGTGTGTATAGATACATGCACAGAGTTTTTTGGCCAGATATTTTATATACACACCACACGTGTCCATACATATTAAAAGAGGGTGAGAGTGGTAGTGTAGGGTCTGAACCAGAACTACTCTTGTAAATCAGTCTGTCATCTAGATAGATAGACCCCTTTATGTATGGATGCCCAACATATGATCTGCCAGAATTCGACTCATTAGCGTTCATCTCGCTGTTGAGAGTAGGACTCCTGAGTATAATTTTCCGTTAGTGAAAATGCAGATGATTTTGGCCAGTGAGTTAGGACATGCTTGCTGTACAGCTGGTAAAACTAGTACTATTTATTACTGAAATTGCTACTTAAATAGAACTTATAAGTTAAGACTTGCCTGGTTAGTAAGTGGTCATGTCTGAGTCATCTCAGCATTGCTGTGTGGTACGCTTTAGCCCATTCTTAAACATGCAGTAAAAAAGGCTTGCTTGGTTTGTGTGGCGATGTCAACTGCATTGCTTTTTAACCACTTCCTGTTAGCCAGCTGCTGGTTGACATTTCAGTGAACTATGGAGAAAGATAGGGGATCACTCTCTAGGCAAAAGATAATATGCCATGGGAGTAGCAGACAACAACTTGCAGGGAAAAAAAAAAAGTTTTGCTCCATTTTAGAATTGCTCTTATATCGTTTTAACTTAGTGTTATGTTTTTATTTCTTACAAAGCATGTGTAATACCTCTTTCCATTTTGTAGTGTGAGGAAAAGTTAACTGATTGTCCAGCAAACAAGTCTTGTAATTATTTTTCCTACAGGAAGTAGTTCTTGCAAGCAGTTTATCAACAACTTCCTTTTTTTTTTCTGTGAAGTGTTGAATGACTTCCTGAAAGAGGCCAAGGTGGTTTTCATTAGTATCTGTGGGTGTGTTTGAGGTGTTTACCCATCTGGCAGAAACCTTAAAAACAGATTGCTGTTACACATTTCTTATGTGCTCTATACAGAGGTATGGCTTTGGATGTTATGAAACCAAATTGTTTTAAGATAACAGGGAAGTTCGTTGCTACGTTTTTGTTTTCTCATGTCACACATGAAGAATATCCGGCAATGCTGTTAAATTTCTCTCGTGTCCCATTTTTGCACCTGACTGGAACCACCCACTACACCAATATCATCTGCTTCCTTCCTTCTCCTTTCCTCCCCATCCCACCAAAGTAATCTTAATCTTCCAGGGCAGAAGATACTTATTGGAAAAACTGCTGCCACAGTTGCATATTTTATTGACTACCTTAATTTACTGGGGAAATGCATATTCAGAATCATCAGTTAATGTGAGTTCTTGTATTTATAGTTCTATAGTTCAGGCTAATTTGTCATTAAAAGAGCTGTATTGCTGGAAACCAAAACTGCGACCACTGCTTTTGATGGGTTTGTCACTTTTTCATGCTTTTTGTACTAAAAAGCAGTTGAAGATTTTTCTGTTTGCTAAATTTTATTTGTAATATGTCAAATTAATTTCATTTTTATATTGATGATTTCTGACTGTGTATGAAAATATTCATAAGATCGATGATCTACAAAAAAATAAGCTATGAGATTTGTGCAGGGGAAAATGGGCACTGTCAGTTTCAGAACATAGCTGGAGGAAAGAAATATTAGTTAATATGCTTTTAGAGTAAAACATGCTGTGGTATGTTTTTGGCAACTCAAGATTTTTTTTGTCTTGGAAGACAGTTATAGTACTACTAAGTGTATATCTTTCCTTCTGCCTCTTATTTGAAGAGTCCTGTGAAAGAACGGTAATACAAACTATTTTGAATTTGCAGTTGTACTAAAGATTTCTATATCTTTACAAGGGCCCAGGAGGAATAAGGGCAAACCTTATTTGTGTTAGCACTGAGACTGAGCTGGGAGGAGGATGAAAGTACATCTTCAGCCCTCTGAATTCAGAGAACTTGCAGCCAGCTTAGTGGGTGGGCATCAGTGAAAGCAAAGGCACGGTGCTTTTCTTGTCTTTGGTTTTGTTTTGCTTAAGAAAAATTGCAAGTGATGATATCCGTGCATTCAGTACCCTGCCATACAAGGTAATTTTATAAGACCATTCCCAAAACAGTTTAATAGATGCGAGTTCAAGTAAACCAAAAACGTACCCTGTGGTTTTCACTAATGTGTTTTCCTTTTATTTATAAGCATATTGGCATTTATTATCTTCAGAAGAAAA